GCTGAGCTCAGCACCTGCCACTAGGGAGCCAGCCACAGCTGCGGCCACCACACAGGCCTGTCCCTGTCCAGCCACTGGTAGTCAGCACGAGGCGGATTCTGGGTAAGGGGCGTGGGACATTCACGCTCGGGAGGCATCAGGGTTGCCAAGCTAAGGCGTTCTGGACTTGTGGGGACCACACTCCATCGAGGATCTGGCAAGAGCCCGGGACCTTCCACAAAGGGCAGAGGGACCCTCACAATGTCTTGAGGACAATTCCAGCCATCTCATGGGCCCCTCTAAGCTCCAACAGCCTCTCCTGGAGAAGAAAATGGAGCCCGGGACTTGCTCAGCCTACTAACTTAGAGACGGATGGAGGTTGGCCAGGCAGGTGCAGAAGTCCTCATGGATGGGGGCTGACCACTCACCCAGGGCTCCTCACTTCCGGGAGGGATTCCTTGGTCAGAAAACTAGGGCGAATAACAAGGCTAATTCCAGGAGCACACATCCACAGAGCTCTTGCCCTGTGCCTGCGGGAGCTGCTTGCTTCACATGGGTACACTCACCGACCCCCATCCTGGGCCTTGCCCCCCTTCTGCAGGTGCAGATGTGAGACTCTGAGAGGTGAAAGAGCACACCCGAGGTCACAGTTGGTGACCGAAGGAGCTGGGATTCTAACCGGGTCAGGCTAGTTCACAAGCACATTTAGCCGCAGTGCCCCGCAGCCTGCCTTCCTGGGAACTTGCGACACTTCCCGCCTTGGCTGTCCTCTCGGCATCGGTGAGTGGCAGCGTGGCGTGTGCCCCGGAACTGGGATGTGGTAAGAGCACAGCAGGTTTTTCACACAAAGCAGAGGAGACATTATTACCGGGTGGCCGAGAGCAGCCGGGCTTGTGTGCACCCCAGTGGATGGGCGCTCTGGGAATGTGTCATTGGCCAGAGGGTCGCAAACACAACCAAGGTGAGCAATGTGTGCAGTGCCAGGACCAAGGGGCCGCTGTGACCCCCACCCCCAGGTGTGTGCATCCCCTCTGAGGTGCACCCCTCCCAGGAGAGGAGTGTGAGCCCCACCCAGCCCTGTCCTGGCCAGAGACCCTGTGTCTGGCAGCCAGTGGGGCAGGGCCAGCTGTCACCACGGTATCAGAGACAAAATTCCATGGGACTCGTTCCAGTTTGTGACGCTCTGAGGACACGTGGTGTCCAGGGCAGGCTCTCCCCACCTGGGCGAGCTACTCCTTGCAAGTTCAGCCATTGCAGTGCTTTCCTGGGCAGCCGCTGACACCTCCGGGACTGACTCATTCTCCCCGGAGCCTCACGTGGGGCACTCAGGCCACGGGGGGAGGATCTAAAGCACCCTCCTCCTGGCTACCCAGGCCAGTAAAGCCTCCTCGGACACTTTCCTACAAGGAGCGGCAGGCAGGAGCCTTCCGGATGACTCAAAGGAGGACATGTGGGCAGAGGCCCCAGTGCTCACTCTTCCTTATGGGGAAGGTGGAGCCAGAGCTGCCCACCAGTGACTGGGCATTGCTGTTTCCGCTCCCTCGATCAAGGCTGTGGCCGGCCCTTCTGATCCACTCTCCGAGCGGACTGTACCCAGCACACAGCAGGCCCGCACTGGCTATCTATTGAGAATTCCTCTTCTTGGGCCCAGCAATTGGTATAATGGCTATGTTGCTGGCCTCCCATGTAGTCAACCACGGTTTGAGTCCTGGGCCCGGTGGTTTAAACTCATGCTGGGCACATGAGCGTGCGTGCCCAAGATCCCGAGAGAATGGAGGAGAAGGGATTGCAGCGTGACCATCCCCCCTGGGGGGTGATTTCTCACTTTCTGTCTCTCTGTTTCTCTCTGTCTCTCTGGCAAGCACACGCGCGAACACCTCTCCAAATTAAAAAAAAAGAGAATTCCTCTTCTCCATTGGTCGAGAAGCCAACCCTCTGGCCTGACATGCGAGGCCTGAAGACTGGTTCCTGCATACCTTGCTGGCACCCTCTCTCGGGTCTCCACCTCCATCCCCTTGCGGCTCACTTCTTGAGCCTGCCCTGTGCTGCTCACCTTCAGGTCCTGTCTTGGGCCGTTTCCCTGCTGAGACTTTTCCCGCTCTCTCTGCCTTCAATTTCCAAAGCTCTTACTCAACCTCAAGACTCAGGTCATGTGACAGTTGCTGGGCCGAGTCTTCCTGATGCATCCGGGCCTCGGCTCTACCCTCTGGCCCCAGCTCTGTACACCTGACTCTGGTGACCAGTCTTTTTTCCGACTCCCCGCCAGACTCAGAGCTTCCAGAGGCAGCTACAACGCTTCGCCCTCTGAGCATTTGCACCCCCACAGTGGTGTCGCACACAGAGCACCGGAGTCGAGTGTCACCCCTGCACACGCGAATGGACGCTCAGCTAGACAGCCACAGGCTTCTGAGGAGTGGGACGGGCCAAGGTTGGTCTTGATGGCAAAGTGGGGACAGCGTGGCCCCCAGAGGACGTCTATAGACAAACACACAAGGGGACGAGACGAGGGGAGGGAGGCCAAGGGAGGGCAGAGGATGCCACATGCCACGGCCATCAACCTCACGGCCTGCCGCAGGGCCACCATGTGCAGGGCCGGAGAGCACACTTGCGGCTGCTCAGGGGAGGACGGAGAGTCTGGGGGCTGTCACAGAACGGGGCTTCACGCCAAGAGAAAAAGGAAGTAGGTAACTTTCTCTGCCGCCTGCAGAGTGCCACGGCCAGAGAAGCGGAACCCTGTGTCACGCAATTCTAGCGGTTTGCAAAGCTGTAGGCACTGGTGTCCCAGGGCACCATGCCAAGCTTTGGCTTGGCCATCAGAGTTCCCCTAAAGAAGGGCCCATCCCTTCACTGGCTCTGTGCTGCCCATGGACGGAGGCTGCTACTTTGCTGGTCCCGGGCCTCCTACACCTCGCTGGGGCTGCTTCTTGCCGGGTGTCCATGACTACCCCCCTCAGGGGGCCTGGGCCAGGTGCTTGACTGTAGGTCCTGAGTGCAAACCAGTTTCATCCTTG